GAACCAAGCTCAGAGAACCCCAAGGACTCCACAGTTCAACCCTGAGCTACACATATTCGCCTCCATTGCTACTTTGTACACTAGTTGTGTAGTTCTGTAGGCAAACTACACATGTTTTATGTTTAGACCTGGGATTGCTTATGTTGTGTTTTTGTTTTATTATTTAGCTTGATCCAGTGGCCTACAGGTTAGAACCTATGATTATTTCTGACTTTGATGTAAAATCGGTCCTCATTCCACATCACAAAGGCAGAAAAAGACTCCACCTTGGTAAATAAAGTATATTAAAATATGTTCTAATATCTAACTTGAACATAAAACTAATATGTATGTTATAAAGCACAAACAGAAGAAGCTTGCAGAGAGAGAAAGCAACAACATACCTAAATATGAAATCTTCAGTATCAATTGACTGAACAATGTATGAGAAAAATAGTTTATAAGGCTTTCCCTTCAAATTGCTGTTTTTTCCATACTGGTAATTCTATAGTGGTAAGGAGTGTTACTATTTGTAAAAGTGTGTGCCATTTAATCTGTGTCTTTAAGTTTATATCAGACAGTGTGTGAAGATAGGAAATGTGATGTTGAAGTAGAGAATGAACAAGAAAATAAGCAGGGCAGAATTGAAATGGTCATATCAATAGTTTATTGCAACAGTAGTAAATACATATCTATGGAGCATTAGTAGGTGTCTAAGCAGAAAATGAAATAGAGTTCACATACAGTGGTGCTTAAAAGTTTGTGAACCCTTTTGAATTTTCAGTGTTTCTGCATAAATATGACTCAAAATGTGACCTGTTCTCCACACAAGTCCTAAAATTAAATAAAGATAGCCCAATTAAACAAGTCAAAAACATATTTGTTCATTAATTCATTAAGGAAAATGATCCAGGGCTACATATTTTATCATACATCACAAACTTTTAAACACCATTGTATATTCCATACTGGGTATAGAAATTTTTATTGGCAAGAACTCTGCTTTAAAAATTTGCCAAATTAGAAGAGCAGAAAAGGACACCTACAGTACTAGTTGGACCTCAACTGAAGCTGAGAATCGGATAAAAAATATTGTTAGTTACTTCTCCCTGATCACTATTCACAGCAAAAGCATCAGTGGTTGCTGTAAAAACTAGTCCTGGCTACAATTAGATGTTTACTGTATTGCAGCTACAAGTAGTCCTCAGTTAACGATGGTAATTGAGACTGGAATTTCCATTGCTAAGTGATGCAGTCATAAAGTGTGATGTCACATGACTGCATCACTTAATGACAGCAATCCCAGCAGTCCCGATTGCTGTTGTTAACCGAATTGCACCAGTCATTAGGCGAGGACCCATCCCAATCCAAGCCATTCCCACTGCCTCCTCTTGATCTCCACCCACCTGGCTATCTTCCCCCATCTCTGCCCTTTTGGCTGCCCATCTGCCTGCTGCTGTCAGCTCCTCTGCCACCCAGCCCTGCCCAACATGGCGCCCACTGCACCACGGGTCACTACTGTATCAGACAGCTAGAAGGGTTCTTCTTGTGTGCTAGTGCAGTCGGGTTTCTTTCACGTGCTGGGCTTCTTTTACAAACAAAGGCCCTGGGTGGGGCGCAAACAGAAGCCCTGGCTGGCGGCTGAACGGAGGCCCTGGGCAAGACACAAGAGAGGACCTGGCTGCACTAGCGTGAAAGAAGGTGGCACGAAAGAAGCCCTGGCCAGTACAGTAGTGGTATGCTATGCAGTGGGTGTGGTGTTGGGGAGCAGGGTCGGGCGGCAGGGCAGCTGGCGGCAGTGGGCAGGCAGGTGGCCAAAAGGGCAGAGATGGGGGAGATAGCTAGGTGGGAGGAGTTCAAGAGGGGGCAAAGGAAGCAGTCTGTTGCCTTACCAAGGCTTGGGGCTGGGAAGGATCAAGCCGGGAATGGCTTGGATTGGGATGGGTTCTTGCCTACCGACCGGTGGGATTCGGCTAACGATGGCAATGGGGACTGCCAGGATTGCTGTTGCTTAGTGATGCAGTCATGTGACATCAAGTTTTACAACTGCATCACTTAGCAATGGAGATTCCGGTCCCAATTACTGTAAATGCGGGCCCAAATTTTGTTCACATGACCGCGGGGGTGCTGCAATGGACCAGTCGTAGAGGACTGGTTGTAAGTCCCTTCGTTCAGTGCTGTGGTAGCTTTGAATGGTTGCTGAATGAATGGATATTAAGGGAGGACTACCTGTACCATGATAATATTCTGTTTAGTACAGGCTGGCCAAAAGGTCGTAGTGCAGATACTGCCCCAGAATGGGTGTCTGCGTATGTGTGATGGCTCCCTCATTCTGGATCACTTTACCTTCTAAAGTTGGGATATGTAATGGTTCCTGATACTCATACTCTGCATACTCTGAAGCATCCAAAGTATTCCACAGCCCTACTGTTAATAAAATGAGAAATTAAGCCAATATTGTCTCTGACCTTAATTGAGCCATCAGTCTACCAGCTTAATAAATATTTCTAAAACCAGGACAATGAACCAGATAAGCAGTTCAGTTTAAACAGAACTACAATGTAATGATTGTCTAAAGATTGCAGAATAGATTTTTTTTGTTTTTGTTTTTTAGTAATTGAAGTTGTGTTCTGTATTTACTTTTAAGTAACTCTTTAAGATTTGTAATTTAACAAATTGATTGCTCTTTTAACTTGCAGTGGTTGGAGCAAGTTTATTTTTTTTCCATCTCTCTTTTTTTAGAATTGAAAGATTCTCTCTCTCGAATGGGATCAGACTTGAAACAAGGTTTTCTTAGCTCTTTGAAAAGTGCTTGGCAAACCCTTAATGAATTTGCACGTGCCCATACCTCTTCTACTCAACTCCAAGCAGAATTGGAGAAAGTGGCCCATCAGATTAAAGCAGAAGAAGAAAAAGACGAGGCAGAAGGTTAGTTGATGCAAGAATATCGTTTTCAGTAACTGCTGCAAGTGATAAAACTGAAATGTATTTCCATCTTTTTGCTTATGGGACTGATGTCTGGACTCTTATGTTAGGAACTTATGTGTCATTTCATACTCTGAAAGTTTAACCTGAAGCTTTGGGTAGTTTCTCCAATATGCAAAGCTTCATTTTTATCCTGAAAGGGAAATCTGTTACTTTACTTTTAGTAAAAAACTTATGTTGTGCATAATAAATGCATTAGTTTGCTAACCAATCACTATGATAAACAGGACAAGTTCTCTAATTAAAAATATGTAGTAATTGACTGGATGTAATCAGCAAATATTGGCTTTCTAGACAGAGTTTGTCAGCTTTATTCTGTATTGATTTTTAATTTTTTTTTAACCTTTCTTAACTTATCAAAACTAAGGTACTCTTATTAAAAAAATCTGAACTCTTATTGTTACAATGAAATATAATTTTGACATCTCTTTGAACTGCTCACTCCTTTATCTGCCTTCTCACCACCTACCATTAGTTTTAAATTCCACTGAATTTCCAAGATTAGTTAAGATAAAATGAGTATCACTATTAACTTATGGAATAACTAAAACATATATTATCCAAAGCCTAGGTGGCTACCATGTAAGTCCAGGACAAACATAGTCTCTTTAAGAGGCTGCTAACAGAAAGTGTCTGTCCTGGAATTGAAGCACACTTGGCCACTTTAGATCAAATATTGCACACACCATTGGTTGCTGTTTAGGAAATCCTGCAATTTATGTTGAATGTAAGCATGCATGACAGAATGGCTTGTTTTCTGAAAGCTTCTGAATATGCAATATAATGAAATCCCATTGGAAATGTTCTTTTTTCTAAATATGTATTCACACACATACACAAGTATATATATCAGGAGAAGAGGAACTGTAGTAATTGTGACTGTGTTATAAATAGGCCTAATACTGAAGTATTGTAGTAAAGAAAGAGAGAATGGCAAATCAAGGATTCAACTTGTAGCATATTTTTCATACTCAATTTCTTTCCCCTGTAGCAGAAAAGATAGTGGAAAGTTCAGAACTTCCAAAGGATGAAGACTTGAGTATAAAAGTTGGTTTGCTAAATGGAGGTCGTCGTATTGATTATGTTCTGCAAGAAAAACCTATAGAAAGTTTTAATGAGTATCTTTTTGCTCTACAGAGTCACTTGTGCTACTGGTAAGAATTTTTTTTTTATATATAACAATCAGTGCTGCAACATTGTGTTTCTTTAGAAATATCTCTGCTGGCCTTTTTTTTTTTAACTTGCATTTTTCAGCAGCATTTTGTCTTCTACATTTAGTGTTCACAGCAAAGGTGTAGGCCACCACACTGCAGTTCAGCAAGTAAACAATCAGTGCTTTTACATAATCCACATATCATTAGCACCTTTTTGCATTTCTTTTGGACTACTTTCATAGCCTAAGATAAGCTTCTGTTCTGTATTGCAGAAAGTGTGATTTTGATGGACAGTAGCACAAAATACTAAGTGTTACACTGCTGCATCAATTTAAGAACAAAGAACCTTTTTTATCAAGGCAGTGTTAACAACCACAAAACCAAGAGCTTCAGTTCAGACCACAGGAGTGGGCAAATTCTTATACAGCTAAAGTAGAACATTATATGCACCTATATTATTGACTGTCTATAGCATTTTGGTTTAATGGATAAAATGGGGGCTTGTGAATTGTTTATCATTTTGCTGAAAACTTTGATGTGGGAGCATTACCTCTGGCATCTAAGTATGAAAATGTTGTATTGTATTTGATGTATCCTAGTAAAATATACCATCCTGCTATTTCTTATCCAATATTCTAACACATTTGTCAGTTTGATACTTACAGGGAGAGCACATGAAAGAGTGGTCTTCTTTCCTTTCCTTTCCTTTCCTAACAATTTGCACTGAGAACCTTAATATTGCAGATAATCTGTTAGTCATTATGACTGACAGCCTTAATAGCCTTATCCTCTAAAAATTTGGTTAAGCACACTTTAAAAGGTACCAAATTGATCACCATCACTGTATCCTGAGATAGCAAATAATATAGTTTGTTCTTCTTACATGCCCTTTTTTTAAAGTAGGGAAGCTTAGAATTTATGCCTGTTTATATTCTGTTTCAGAAATGTTCCAGTTTCTTTTGCTTGGTCTATGCTGGAAGGTAGCTAGATGGTATTTCCATAAGGTGGCACTCTTGAGTTAAAGAAAATTCTGTTGGCTAATAAGTTGTAAAATTGTTAGACTCCTACATAGTAGGCTGAAGCCAAATACCTTGCTGATTAATAAAATAAACCTTGAGGTAGTAGACAAACAGTATTTTTTCTACTGATAAGAAATATTTTCTCTCTTTCTCTCTCTCTCTCTCTCTCTCTTTTTGCCCTTTGAGTATAGGGCTGAACAGATGCAAGGATTCATATAATAACAAATGATTTTTTTTGTCCTTCCTATATGCTCTTCTCAGTTAGTAGGGAGTTTACCCAATAAATTATGCAAAAATTCTTCTGGGGATTAGCTCACCATTATATTATTGCCTGAAATCTACTTGGACAATTTGAAGGCTATTTAATTATTTCTAAAAATAGGAGAATTGTTGCATTTTGTAATACATCTATCAGATTCAGTAATCTAGGTCATGTAGAATGATACTGTAGGATAGTGTCCTGGATTACAAATGGAAATTAGTCTTTAGTTTCTTGGAATTAATATATCCTGATTACATTCTTTGGTATGATAGGAAGTCTAAGTACTGCAGAATAATGTAGAGACAGCAATAAATAAATGCAGAGTTTGGTCCCCTGTACTTGCACAAAAATTAAATTAGGGTGCTGCTAATTGTATTGTAAATATTGTAAAAAATATTTTGTTAGTATATTTTATTTTTACCTTTTTCACAGTAGACTACATTAATAAAATAAATAAAATAAATACAATTATACTCCGTGAATGGAATCCAGTTTTGCCTTCTGCTAAGAAGCTTGATACTATGAGCAGGAGGACCTATTTACCCTCCCTTTTGTAGTCTCTTCTATCCCTTCCAAATGTATTTTATTTATTTATACATATCATTTGTATGTCACATACTCACAGGTTTCTGGGTAGCGTACGGTTATAAAAACCTAATAACAAGAAAACACAACTAAAATCTTATTAGTACTCTCCACCGCTATAGTTTCCTACACCAGATGCCCCTGTGAAAGAGTGCCATTTTTACAGTCTTCTAAATGTTAGCATGATGGGGCCATCCTGATTTTGGGTTTCAGAGTGAGGGAGGTGCTACTAAGAAGGCCATCCTGCAGGCCCATCCCCTTGATCTCTTGGGAGGTAGATACTAACAGAGCTTCCTCCCAGCTTGATTACAGATAGTCCTTGCTTAACAACCATTCGTTCAGCAACCGTTTGAAATTATGATGGCACTGAAAAGATGGACTTATGACCTCTGCCTGAAATTATGACTATTGCAGTGCCCCCGTAGTCACAAGTTCAAAATTTGAGGGCTTGGCAGTCCACCCACACTTATGACCACAGGGGTGCTTCAACTCCCCTCACCCGCCTATCTCCCCCCATCTCTGCCCTTTTGGCCCCCTGCCATCCTGCGTTCTGTCACCCCAGCTGACCTTCACTGCTGTCTTGCTCCCGCTGCTGATGAGGCATGCTGGGTCTAGCTGCTGGGCCCTTATGGGGCTGCCTTTGCATTGTGAAGAAGGGGAAAAGATTGGAAAGCAGCCTTTTCCTTCCCTTCTTCACAGTGCAAAGCCAGCCCTGCCCCCTCCTAGGAGCTCGAAAGAGGGCTTTGTGTTGCAAAGAAGGAAAAAATTTGCAGAAAGCCCTGGGGTTTTTTGCCCTCTTCTCAGTGCTCCCTCTTGTCCCTGGGGTTTGGCTGAAAAAGCTCCATGCCAAAATCCAAGCAGAATTTTGGCGTGGAGCTTTTTCAGCCAGACCCAGAGTCGAGAGGAAGTCCTGTCTGTAGGCAGCAGTGGCTTGCGACTTTACCTGCTGGCTTCCCCATTGACCTTCTGGGGAAGCTGGCAGGGAAGATTGAAAATGGCGATCACATGATCACAGGGCAGCAGCTTGGGAATTGCAAGCTGCTGCTGCCTGCCGAGAGAACTCCCTCTCAACTCTGGTGGCTGGCTGAAAAAGCTCTATGCCAAAACCCAAGCAAGATTTTCAGCCCTGGAGTGGAGAGGCTTCAGAAGCCTCTCGAATCTGGGGCTAAAAATCCAAGTGGTTCTGAGGCCCTCGTTGCACCTGACCCACACTGCACCACTGCGCACCCTCACTGACCCTCCCACACCGCCCCATGCACTTCCTCGCTCCCTCACCTGGCAGCACTTGGGGCTTGCAACTTCCTGCTGACTTGATTGTGGGAAGCAGGCAGGAAGTTGCCTTGGCTAACGACCGGGGCATTCACTTAACAATGGCAACCAGGACTGCCAGGATTGCAGTCAGTAAGCAAAGCAGTCACGTGATAATTTGCTTAACAACTGCATTGCTTAGTGACCTAAATTCCAGTCCCAACTGTGATTGTTAAGTAAGGATTACCTGTATGTTGGGCAGGCAGATTCTACCTGAGCTTTCTATCTGAGGTTACAGTAATAGAAAGTTGGAATATAAGATTTAATAATATAACAGCAATAATAGTCTGTCCCCAGTTCTATTAGCATTGGATTCTTCCTTCTAATATTGTTCAGGACAACATTAATACCCATTATCTAGAGTTACAATCAAATCTATAAATGTTACCTGACCAAAAATGTAAAACAAGTGTAAAAGTTATATTTCACTCATAAAACATATGGAATACATCCAGGAAACCACTTTTATTCTAACTGTGGGAGGTCTTAGAAATTGCTAATGTGATGTTATGGGATTTAAAAGATATTTAACTTGTTGAGGAACTTAAGCTGCCAGCAATAGAATGCTTGTAGACCAGCCGGCTGAAAGAAGATGTAAGTTTTAGTCATGGTCAAAGTTAAGTCCAAAATCAGAAGTTGTCTGATGGAATAAAGAAACAGGGCAGTAAAATGAGATACAAGAGCTGAAGGAAATATAGGGAGTAAAATAAAGGAAAATATGTATCAAGATGGTTGGGGTACTGTGTTTTGCATATTGATGTGAAGAGCTTAGAGCTGAAGGGTTAAATAATTTAAGTAAACTATGATGAGGTTGATGAGAGACATATGTTTGAGGCATGTGGAAGAAATTAATTTGAAAAGCAGTCAAAGAAAAAAGCATCAGGATAGCAATTTTTCAATCAGTAAGTTTGCATAGTTAGGTATTTGCCTCCGCTGCATTACAGAATAGAATAAGATTGTTCCAATTAGGCAATTCACTGGAAATTAGTATTTTTTTTTAATCTGCAGGGAATCAGAAGATACTGCTTTACTTCTTCTAAAAGAAATCTATAGAACTATGAATGTTTATCCTGAACAACCACAACATTGATATCAGAACACCTGTAATCCAAAATGTGTAAGTAATTCCTAATAGAACACAACATTATTTCTTAAAGAGTTCAGAACCCCTTGTAAAACAAGAAAATCATTGGCGTCAGCCAGTTACATAAGCAGCCTGCTACTTTGCTTTGCTGTCCTGTCCCCTTTAGGTTTCTCCTTTGGAGGATCTGTTAACTTCAGTGTGGGTTTTGAAGGTGCTTGTGGAAATCAGGGAAAGAAAGAACAGCATCCTTCAGCAGAATGTCTTTTGCCAGTATAATAGTACCTTGAGGTACAACTGAAAAGGATTGTCTTGATGTCTGAAAGAAAGGATTGAAAGAAATCAGTGTTTCCCTTGGTAAAGAGGTGCTAGCATGCTTGAAATATATTTGTATCACTTTGTATATAGGTGGTCTTTGGGTTCAGCAATCGTTCAAAGTTATGATAGTGCTGAACAAGGGGGACTTATGGTTGGTCTTTGAAGATATGGCCATTGCAGTGTCCCCACGGTCATGTGATTGTGATTCTAGTGCTTGGCAACCAGCTTGCACTTACGACGGTCACAGCGTCCTATGATCACATGATCACCATTTGCGAACTTCCCTGCTGGCTTTCCACAAGCAAAGTCAAGGTCATAAGTTACTCCTACCACCTTTAGCCCATAAGCCCACGGCACCCACTCACCTGCCTGCCCTCTGTAGTGCCTGCCCATGGTACCTGCATACCAATCTGTGCTTTGTAGCGCAGGCCTGTGGCACCTGCCCACCCGCCCATAGCTCTCAGCTGCCAGCTTGCTTGCCTGGGACTTCCCCCTCTTCCCACAGTGCAGTCACATGAGGTCCTTGCTTAATGATCTGCATGGTCCTGGGGTTACAATGGCAACTGGGACTGCTGGGATTGCTGTTGGTAAAAGATGTGGTCATGTGCTGTCGCACTTTACGACCGCATTGCTTAGCAATGAAAATTACGGTCCCAATTGCCATTGTAACCCGAGGACTGTATGTTTCATTTAAGAACTTTCCCCTATGGCGATTTGGATTACTTTTGAGACCTTAAATGTTATAAAAGCCCTAATTTTTAAAATTTTCCCTTTGTCCCAGTAAGTTTGACGAGCATGATAACGTAAGCCTTTTTTCATTCTCTGTGATTATGGCACAAACAAATAACATCAACTAGTCACATTGCATAGTCCAAGCAGATTGGAACATTTGAAATACTTATGTTTCTAGTTTTCTTGATAATATTGAAGTTGGAACTCTTATGTCTCCTCTTTGTGGTTAGCTTCATTAAAGATACCTAATGTCATGTCAGAATAATTTTTAGCGTTGATGATGAAATCCCTCTTCTGCTTATAAACATTATGATATCAAATTTTGCATTTTTGAAATGTTTTCCAGTTTGATAGGCCCATGATTCTTAAGTTATGATGAGACCCTGAGCAAATGAAGGGATTCTGCTTATTAATATAAAATGTATAACTTAAGCATATAATGGATAGGACTAATTCTGTGTTCTTCATCTTTTAGCAGTTTGCAAACATGCTTCTGTTAGCACATATGCATACTTACTAGGAAAGAAAGAAATTATCTTTTTTTAAATCACTTTAAATGAGGGAAATCAAAAGGAAAACAAATAAGACATATTTAGCTATCTTTATAGGATCAATTTCCGAAACACTGATCTCAGTTTAAAGTATATTCTATGAACTGCCAACAATTTCAGCTGATCTACCTTCAGCCTGATGTTCGGATGTTATAGTAACATTTTTTGACTAGAAAAATATATAATGCAAGAGCTTAGTTGAGGAATGGATGTGCTTTCTTTGGCTTAAATCATTTTAACTCGTATGAGGAATTTGTTATATACTTCTGAATTAGGTACCTCTGACCATTTCCCTTAACATATTTTGGGAACAATATACTGTATGTGAAATATTTATCACTCTTTGTTTTAAGTAGTTTTTCCCATGTGCACACAGACAACCTGTTGCAATTATAGTAAATAATATACAACAGTAGAAATTATTCCAATTACTCCCAGAGTTTACTAAACAATTTGCTCATATCATGCTGCTTCATGACATATTCATGCTTTGCTTGTTGAGAGAAGCTTTGTTTAAAATATGCAGATAAATGCCTCTAATCTTCAGCACTATAGAGACTCTTAACATAAATGTAAACTTCCCAAATGAGCCATCTGCACAAATGACAGTGGGTGAAAATACCCCTGCAACTGCCACTTGAACCATTGTCTAGAGAGTTCATAGAAGTGTATTAGCCAAAATGTGACGGGAACATTCAAATTCTGTGATTTTATTGAATTTTTTCAATCATAAAAGTACATTCTGTATGTTTATTATGCAGTAGCTTCTGCTTGAAAAATAGTATTATATCTTACCTGCTTTTTTAGAAATACTCTTTCTAATATGGTACATTACTTCAGTAGTGCAACAGAACGGAATTTATACCTGGGGCATGATCCAGTCCACCAGAATGACACAGTCTGTGAACAATTCTTGAAAGCTATCTATAGCTCTGTTTCCAGAGGCAGTTCAGCTGGCCATTAGAAAGATGGGGTTTGTGCACACTTCCCATTTCCCAATACAATTTTCCTTCTTTGCCTCAATACATACTACTTCCATCATTCAGGTATCACATTTAGTGCATCCACTGATGTTTCTTTAAGGAGAAACATATCTACTTGGTTACGCATGAAAAGTCCTATTTTTGAGACAAATATGCAGAATTCCTAGAAAACTTTTATTCAGTCAATTACTAACTAATATGCAACCCATGGGACTTATCACATGTAACAAAATTGAAGTTCCAGAGGGAAGATTAGGTTGAGATTTTTACTGGCTTCCATAACAGAATGGGAACGAGACTATCATTGCCTCTGGATCTGCTTCAATACATTGTATAAATGACTTAATCCAACTTTAAGTGTTTTTGATTTTAATAGAAGCAAAAAGCAAATAGGTCCTTTCTATGTATCTTAAGCTACACCATTGAATACTTGAATAAACTATCTCTGTGAAGTTAAGTGTAGAATTCTGTCAGAAGAATATTTTAGAGTATTTCAGTATTTTAGGGTGGGTGGGGAGGTGTTATTCTTTTGGTGTTTGCCTAATTAGGCCATCTTTAGGGCTAGGGTTCGTGTTTTTATGTTTTAAATTTGTATGCTGCCCACAGTGGGTGGCCTACAAACGTGACTACTAAAAATAAATAAATTTGTACAAATAGCTACTGTTTTATGTTTAGTTTGAATTTACACTGAGTTGTGAATTTTCAGAGCTTCTAAATCTGATTGAAAATATTTTTGTGAGTGGCTATTGTGCAAATTTTATTTGGTGGGATGGGTTCAGATTTATATATCTATCCTTTTAGAAAATCTTATGGTAATAACAATAAGACAACTATAAGAGATTAAGATGATTACCGCTAAAGACATTGTAATTATGCACAGGATTATATCTTATCTTGTTTTTTCTCACTCACATAAAAAAGTCCTAGTAGAAATGAAATGGATAGAGACGTTCCTATATATTTTCAATGATATTTTTACATTTCTTGGCAACTGTGATTGCAGTTAACAAAGTTTTCCGTAGCTTACCCCTCCTCTCTTCCTTTTTTTCAGCATTTCTCATCTTTGTTCTGGCTTGCCAACAGCCTTTGAAGAAAACGACACCAATTCCAATCCATAGATGACAGAAGTGGTTTCAGTCTGCAGCCTTCAGTTTCTAAACTACCTTTTTGTGTCATTTTAAAAAGAAACATTGGGTGTGGAAAAAAACCTGATTTATTCCTTAGAGCATATATATGGTTTTCCTAGCCTTGAATCATATGGGGCATTTTTGCCAAACTTAAATGATCTTTAAAAAAATGTATGGCATGCAAATTAATATTTCTAATCTGTCTTGGTTCATAGGTTTATCAGGCCTGTGTTTTTGATCAGGACTGTATTTTTTAAAATAATATCTTTGTGGTAAATAGCAATAATACTTTTTTTTATTTAAGAAATGCATTGGTCCCATTTCTTTAAAAATGTAAACTTAACATCAGACTTGTTTACTTACACATTTACATCAACCACTGAATTTGCAAAATAAATAATTGGAATCAATTTCATACAACAGCAGGCTTACCATTACATTTTTATAAAAGTCTGAGCCTCCGAAAGAAGTGTTTTTTTATTTTTGTGACATGAACTTTTACTCTAGGTTATATAGAAAATTGCTGTAAACTAATTCAGCACTTGTACTTCTTGCTTTTCTGTCTGCATATTGAGTAGAGAACAATGAGCTAAATTTGGTTTGGCATTGATGATCATGGTAGGATACATGTATCTATATGTGATTTGAGGACTAAACATGGAAATATATGCATTAATGGCCCTGGGATGGAGGAGTGTTTTGAAGATCAAATTTAGTTAGTGTCTTGACATTGCCAAGAGCACTTGCCTTGTTTCCATAGTGAAATATCTGAGAGTTTCATAAATAAATTTATCAACACTGGACTTCTGAAGCTTATTTTCCATTATCACTTCTGATTTTTTCCCCCTGCATATTAAGCAATGTTTCATTAAAGTGATATTGTAATGGTTACTTGCTGTGGATTATTTTAGTTTAGTAGTATTTTTCAATAATATGATTTGGCCTGGGTGCAGGGGGTGGTGTTAGTATTTATCCTGAAATGGACATTATGTTAGTTCTTGAGAAGAAGATCCAAAATAGGTGAGACATGTAACTTGATCATCTTCTGCCTGTTGTATGGTCTATGCAATTAAAAAGCTTGTATATTTTTAAATTAACAGAAGTAAATTCATTGTAGTATATTATCACATAGTTATTTTATATATCTTTAAGAACTGTGATATTAGTGAGCTTTGTAGAAAGTTTTTATGCTTCTTTTGGTGATTCTGATCTTATTTCTGAAAGCAAGAGATTTGTTTTTTCTTATTCTAAGTACTTGCTATGCTGTTTGTCATAAATGAAATTTAACATGTTTCTCATTAAACTGGAATACATTCTGTCACAGAAATAGCAAATGAAGCAGCTTCTAGTCATAAAACAACAACTGGAGAAGCCCTGCAATATTACCCAGATTAAACTTGTCTCTAAACCAGTGTTTCTCAACCTCAGCAGCTTTAAGGTATGTGGACTTTGACTCCCAGAATTCTGGGAATTGGAGTCCACACATCTTAAAAGTTGCTGAGGTTGAGAAACACTGTTCTAAACAGGTTTCAGGATCATAAATTTGGTATTCAGATCACATTCCCAGTCATTCTGGTCACATACCAAGGAAGGAAAGACACGCAAAGGTTTTCAAGAATCAACAACAGTATTGTGTATATAGAGTTTGCTGAAGTGAAAATGTAAAGTCAGGTAAAATAAATGTAATGATTGCCACTGTGAAAAATACAGAAGTATTTATTATCACATTTAATTTAAAGAAGTTTGCTTTGTTTTTTGTTGTGCATTGTTTATTGCCATGGAAATAAATAGTGCAAACCTGATTAAACTGTTTTTGGATGTTTGCATAGACTATAGAATTTATGTTTGGTCTTGAATATTTTAAATTCATCAAGACATTTTAATTTCTACAAGTGTGCTGTATGCTTTATTCATCTCAATAGATGGATAAATTTTAATTTGTTACGAATTATACATTTGGTCTGGGTGATGGAGAGGTAGATATCTAAAGTATAATCTCAATACTGACTGCTTTACTTCACATTAATTTGAAGAAATTTTGACACCTACCTGCAGTGCACATTATCATGTTACTGCTCTCCTTTCTTATATGTTTTATTTAATAGTTGGGTTTTAATTTGTGGCAGAAGCTTCAATAATATATAAGCAACATGCATCCAAGCTAAGATTACAGTTTTAAAAATTAGAAGCCAATGATAAGTTTATAACTTTGCATTAGCTTTTTCTTTCACAAAGGGAGAGAAAGCACATATGTATAAGATCAGCCAAAGCGCTCTGCTGCATTTCACCAACCAGAGAAAAATGTGGAAGTAGCAGCTATAAGCATTTTCTTTCCTCAGCCCGGTAAGATTGACAGCAGTGCGAGGACTACTGATCTATGCTGTTTTATGTGTTTTCCTGCAGAAAAGAGGAATAAATTCCAAAAAGAATCAGGAATGGTCAAACCAGCATCAGCTTTTGGTGCTGTTAAGTGGTTGCCAGGCTGTTATTGGCACTGTAGCCATAGGCTACCAGCTGGGACCTTATCTGCATGCAGTAGCAGTGGATTCTTCGCAAATCCTTGTAGCAATTTTATACCCGGAGCATTTTAGAAATTACAATGGTTGCTGCTGTAGTTAGATAAGCCTGCAGCTAAATAGTCCCCTGATTGGGCTCTTAGAGCTGGAAGTAGACCTGTCATTTTCTCAAATGTATCTACAATGATGTTTGTTTCTTTTTTTCTGTTGAGTTATGTACAACTTTACTTTTATGGAGTAAACCATACTGTCAATAAACTTCAGGTCCTTCACATTCCATTCTGTAATTATACTTCGAGTTAATCTAACACATAATGAAACCATAAGTCAGGTTCTTGAGGTGTATGAAGAACCTGACTTATGGTTTCATTCCCTCTTTACTTTTTTTTTTTTTTTTTTACCTTTTTTTGTTGTTGTCACTGTCCATGCTATTTTTGTGTGCTTTATAAAACAGCCTGATCTTGGCAAAGGTTCCTATCACTGTAGCAAATTAATGCTTTAATGACTACATCAATAGTTTATGAGTATCTCTTGTTATTTTTTGAAATTTTAGTATTGAGATTAAAATTCCTGTTCTGTTCAGTTTAGCTTTTTTCTTTGTGTTCTCTTGTCTGAAATCAGGACAATTTTACAAGGGGCCATACATAACAGTTTTGTGCAGGCCAGTAAGCTGTATTAATGCGAAGACTTAGTGCTTCCTTCTCCTCCTCCTCCTCCCATCTTTTTTATATAACTCAAGGTGGTAAACATACCTAATATCCCTGCTTCCTGTTTTCCCTACAACAACAATCCTGTGAGGTGGGTTGGGCTTTGAGAGAGTGACTGGCCCAAAGTTACCCAGTCAGTTTTCATGCCTAAGGGAGGCCTAGCAACCTCCTTAATGTTCCTCTTAAGGTGATGTAGAATATCTGGATATGTGGATTTTTCTATGATAGTGAAATATGTGGAAATGTTTATGTTATATTATTGAAGGAAGTCAAATGAAATTTTTTATTGTTGCAGTCCTAGACCAGGTTACATACAAAAATAAGGCTAAGTTAAAACTCCAGTAAGGGAAGACTAGTACAGAGCATGCTAGAAACATAAGCACTAAAAGTGAACAATGTAAAACTATACATTGTATAGTTTTATACAAAAAAGTACAAAACTGCTAAAAACAACTGAGGATAGGAAGTCTTTAAGACAATTTATTTTTATATATATTTTCTATACTGCCCAATTATAACAAGCCTAGGCAGTTTATAATAAAATAAGTAATAATATAAAATCCAAATACCTTCCCCCACATACAATAACTAGAATCACCACGGGTGGATCAAGCAAGAAATATGTCGTAATGCAAACTCTACCTTTTATGTACTAGTGTGACACAAGTATCGAAGGAACCTGCATTGTGATGTCACAATGCACATTTTTGTCACATTAGTGTCATCATGGCTAGCTGTGGATGCCGATGACCAGAATTAAAACCCAACCCTAACAAATGTCGTCATCCCTAGTCCCTGAATGCCTGAAAAAACACTTTTTGTCCCAGCTTTCTGAAATGCCATCAAGAAGGAGGCCAAATGAATCTCAGAGGTAAGGTGTTCTGCAATGATGAGGCAACCACCAAGAAGTTCTGGCTCCAGGTTTCCATCCCTTTAATCTTTCATTGGTTGGGGACCCTAAGCATCCCATATAAGGAAGAGTGCACAAGATGGGTATACTTGTCAGAAGAGAAGGTCCTGAAGATAAAAAGATGCCAAACTATGAAGAGCTTCATTTTAATATAAGCACTCTGAATTGGACCCAATAACTTAGTGGCAGCCAGTGCAGTAAAAGTAATAAAGTTGCTATGCTTCCAAAATGGGTTATCGCTACTAGCTACTACTGCGGTTTCTGGATCGTCTTCAAAGATGCCCCATGTAGAGTGTGTTGCAGAGCTTAGGATCGTTGTCATAAGGATGTTCTAGTTTGAGAACAGCTGCAATTGGCACATCACCTAAAGCTGGGCAAAGGCTCCCCTGCTCACCCTCCACTTGCTACTTAAGCTGGAGCCATGAGTTCAAGAGAATTTAGTTTATATTTATTTATATTTAAAATTTAGTCACCCCCATCTCACTCAACGAGCGACTCTGGGCGGTTTACAATAAAAGTAAAAACCAATTGAAATACAATAAAAACAGTATTCAAAAATAAATAATATAATCCAAGGGATAGACGGCATAAATAAATTATCAACCTCTGGAAGCATCTTCAGGGTGCTAACTGCCCCCAGGGTTGGTTACCCTTCCTTGAGCCCAGCACAAGCTGAATCCCCAAATCATGGATCTGCTCCATCAGGGGAAGTGCGTTACCCTTCAGTACTGGCCTTAGAACGAAAAAAATAAAAAGCCAAATTGTTTACCCATGAAAATCATCTCCCTCTTGCTTGGGTTTCATTGAAGCTTGTGTTGTCCTATGCAGTCTCTCACAGCCTCTGACTTTGGCATTTGACAAGTTGTATATTGTCAGATAATTTTATGAAAACATGAAAGATTCTTTAACTGTGAACAAGTTTGAAATACTGCCAAAAGTTAGTCATTAACAGGCATGTTAGATATGGGGACTAAAGCTATAGTCTGTTCTTTGGCTTTCGTACTGAAATAGTACAGTACTCTGCACATTATTTTTAAGTATTAGAAAACAATGTTTGGATTAATTTTTCATATTGATTGAACCTAGGAGTATGGTTTAACAAAAGAGCACAATGAAATTAAGATTACCACTGAGACGTTACATTCTTAGATCAACTGGATAATTGTTTATGTAATTAGGCAATAAATTAATTGGTGCATTAAAACCCTCAATTTCTTGGACTAATCTCAACATATGCTGCCCAGTCCTTTGGTTCTCCTATCTGTTTTAGTATTTCCAGTTCTTTGACTTAGATGTGGAATAATGTACTACTCACAGTTGGATCAGCCAAAAAGAAAAGTATTAATTCATCCTGAAGGATGATACGCCAATCAAAGGGCACACGATCAAAGTATCAATGGAGAAGTTCATCAGTACTATTCTCTGTGTTTCATGAATGGTGCAAATTGTAATGTGAGGCAGAGGAATTGTTAATAATTTTATAATTGTTGACCTATGAGTTACACTGCAATTTTATTTTTAAACAATTGATCTATGAGCTACATTGCAATTATGCTGTGATCTGAGTGCCCCTTACCCATTTTTAGTAAATTTTTGCAATCAATTGCTGTTCTTCATCACACTCTGTAAGATTTGCAGATCTCTCATAAGAACATCAGAACATAAGAAGGTAGTGCCAAGTCTATACTGTGCCCATACTGTGTTGCATAATGGCCAATAAAATGCCAACAGGAAGCCCACAGACAGGACATTAGTACAATAGGACCTCTTCATGCCCCCCCCCCCTGCATTGGTCATGAAGCATGCAACTGAATAACTGAACAACTCATATTCCCTAAATAGTAGTCTTGACATATTATGCAGCATGAAGGTAATATACAGCTATAATTACTGATGCTCACTGATTGATTTATTTTAAGGCTGTCTGGATTATTATTTTTATCATCATCATCATCATCATCATCATCATCATCATCATCATCATCATCACTACATCTTAAGAAGGAAAAATTCTACACTTCATGCAGTGTGTAAAGAAGTACTTTCTTCTATTTGTCCCAAGTCTCCTTCCATTCTGCTTAATTGGAGGGATCTGAGCTACAACATTTTCAAAGATTTAAAAATGGAAAATTTTTATTTTTTATTTTTTAAATTGTGTCTCCTTTTGCTTCATTATCAACTTGGAGAAGAATTTGCTGAACTCAGGTTTTGCTTTTTTGCTTTAACATTTTAGTAGGGCTGCTACTGCTGGTTTTGGGATATTCTTGTAGTGACCCAATATGGCTATTGACAGTTTTGGTGCTTTTATTGGATTCTGAATCTTGCCCAAACTGTGTTAATATATCTTTCAGATTTCTAGAAAATAAATCTTTTAAAAATGTGTGTTGAGAAGTTTTAACCATTTATTGACTAGTAACTTCCTTTTATTTCCTCAACACAGTGTTAATAACGCTCTTCTATTTATACTCTGAAATAAGAACTGACATTTTTCTCATTTTATTCTTTATAACTTTTTAGCTTTATATGCACATTTATTATTAAAATTGACCACCAGGTTGCCAATCTGACAAGGAACTTATTGGACTTAGAAGAAAAATGGAAACTGTTTCTTAAACTATTCCAGTTTATGTGATGTGATACTGACATTGGAAAATATTTTTTTAATAATA